AAGATCTTCCACTTGACACTCATCACTTTAAAATTTGCTACAGCTTGATAGTTTTTAGTAAATTTTATTACAATATCGCTACCACATGTAATTTAATAGATCATGACCTAAACTAAGATTTGCTTATGTTGGATTTATACATGACATCGTCTCCAAGGCCCATTATAATGTGACATGATTTAATTTTGTGATCACAATCTGGACTAACCGATTTTTACATAATATATTTTTATTATCCGTAATCGAAACATGTGTTTGAATGCAAAGTTGATCAAATAGCCAACTGAAAAAATATATATGGCAGATGGGTAAGTTAGCTTTCTTCTCCCTACATTAGATATTTTATATATTCAAATGTATCTTCTCCAAAATTATATAAATCTAGAGGGTTTTCATAATTATAGTCTTCAATATTTGACAATATTGCATTTCTAATTCTTTTACTAAAGATCACATTATTATTTAATAAATACCTTTCTACTTTTACAAGCTCATCAAATATTGTCAATGCATTATTATATATGGACTCAATTTCATTATCATTTATATCTAATCCTCTATAGCATCTGTCTAATTTCTTTAATAAATCATAGTATTTCATATTAAAGTATTTTCACTTCTTATAAAGTTCATGCCAAATTTCTTTATATCATATGTGATTAATATAAATATAGTTATTTAGATCTTCTAATGACATTTTTTGGATGATTTTAGTGATGGTATCTGGAAGTATAAGTGGATTGAATATATGCATGTTATATTGTATATATCAAACATGTAGGTTTTATTAACTAAAACTTTTTATTTAATATATCACTTAATTGTAATCTCAAGAATAACATTAGAAAAATGGTGAACAGCTAGCGATTACTGCTCTGGACTATTAATCTAGACAACTTTAAATTGAAATACTACTGCAAATTATCTCACATACTTAAATCTAGAAGGCTTTGAGCAAAATCTGTCTACTAGCAACATTGTTCTGTGTAAGATGATTTATAACCATTTCAATGAGATCAGAAAGCATTAAAGAGCCAAACTTGAATATGGGCAGGTTTATTTATTCAATGATCAGTCCACTTTGTGCAGTAATGCAATGCAGTATTTATTTTTTTTAGTTGCTGAGGCAGGACACCATGTCATTAGGATACAGTAATGTAGCACAGTAATATGTCATTTCTCTGAAATACTTCTATGTTGATTCCACCCATAATAATTTTCTGAATTAAAGATTACTTAGTTCTAATTGGCTTATTTCTATGATGTTTTCGACTAGGAGAGATAACCTTTTTCTTTGTAATATAGATGCATTTCTTTCGGGTTTTTTTAGATCAAGATTATACCAGTCTAAACCTGTAGATTCTAAATCAGAACTGGATAAATTAGTCTCTATAAATAATTTCTTAAACATATCTATAAACTTTTCTAAATTAAGATCAGGTTTATTGATTTCTGTTTCAGAATGAGATAAGTTATTTTTACTAAAGCTGGCTTTATTATTTTTTTTTTCAATTAATGAGATACTCATATCATCAATTACAATTTTAGCATAGCAGACACAGGTTTTGGGAGAATATTCAAAACTTATTTTTGCTTTATGCATCTATAACTATTCTTGTCCCAGAACTAAATCTAATAATGGATTTTTGCGAATTTGAAAGTCTATTATTTCAGTACCATCTAAACTTTGCCACTTTTCTTTATAGCAAAATTACAAATCTAAACATTTTATTTTACTTATTACATTCTTATAGAGATTCTCAACAGGATCACGTATTCTATAATCTTTTTTAAGCTTATTGAACAAGCTCTTGCTAATGGTATTAAACTTTGATGATGTATCAATTAATGCTTTTACTAGAATTTTCCCTTCTACGAGTGTATTTACGAAGATATTAAGTATATTTAATAATGTATATTACCGTAAAAAAATAACTCAGTAAATAATTACCCATTCTTTAGTAATAAATGTAATTATTTATAACTCGTGTTGGAGAATTCTCTCTGAGATAATTCACAATTGCAGAAATAAGATCTGTTTTATCTGATATATGACTCAAATAGTAGTCTTTAAAGGACCTGGTTATAGCTATCCCATTTTGTCTACCAGTAAAGATTGGAATAAGTGAAGGTAAATCAGAATCAGAGAATTTATTATCAGATAATCTGAACATTCGATTTTAATTTTTGGATTGAGTTTTTTCAGCACTTCATTACTAATCCTTCTACACTCCTTCAAACTAAGATATTTCAAATTAGTATAGTTGCTGGCTATTTTCTCGATAGCTTCATTACCAATCGAGCAATCATCAAGCTCAAGATGTCTAAGTTTTGAGCATAAGCAAGTAATTTCAGTGATACATCAATTAGTGAGACATATACATGGATTAAGACTCAGATGCTATAGTTTTAAAGAAAATCTCACAATTTCTATAATTGGTATATTAGTGAAACCCTTACTTTTATTAAGAATAAGAAAGTGTATATCTGAATATAAGCATAGAATCACACTAATCAATGCATCTGAGATTTTTAAACCTTTCAATCTGAGATATACCATCTTGATGCAATAGGTTGGCTTTATTTTTCTACATATAACTCTTTCAAAGTTTATCAATTGCAGAATAAGAATCTGAGACATGGTTAGGGCATGCTGGCTTTGTTGATAATCTTTGTTGAAAAACTCAATACATTGTTATAGAATAGAAGCACTGCAGTGATACCAAAGATGGTTAAGAAATAAAGTGAGATAAAGGGATTGATGGATTTCTAGAAAATATAAGATCTGTTTTAGCAATTCTGGTAAACCAAAAATATTTAGTTGCACTATTCTCAAGAATGTATATTATATATCTTTAATCGAAAAAACAGCTAATGTTCAGATAATTAATTTAGGCATATTTTTAAATTAGCATTAATAAATAATTTAACATTTATAATGACCAAAGCTGATAGAACTGTATCCCATATTACTAAACAGGTATTTGATAAAAAAATCTGGATCTGTTTTTGCCAATTACTGAAAATAGTGAAACCCGAGATTCAGCAGGATATTATAAACTCAATAGCAAACCAAGATATTTTTTGAAGAAATCATACACTATGCAAGGCTAAAAGAAAAAAAAGATTTTTTAATGATATCACATCTGGGTCTGACTCTGAATCATCCAGCTACAAAGTAAATATCTCCAGCAATGATGATAAAGATTTTACTATGAATGTGGTAAAAACCAAGAAGCATGATTAGTAATTGTATAGGTCTATAATATCTAATATCTTAGTATTTTTTTTCTTATATATTAAAATAACTGGCTTATCATTCATTACACTATAATGCTCGACTGATGAAACATAACCTATTTTATGCCTATATGCCAATTGTCATAAATATTGATAGCAGGAATCATTTTTACCTCTATGTACTCTGAAAGTGTAATCAGCCCCTATTTTTCTTAATATAAATGAGATAATTCTATGAAGTTAGTTTGCATATATAACTTTACTTAAAAAATATCTAATAAGTCTAATTATTGTAAAGCAGGTCCAAAGCAGTAAAGCTGAGTTATAGTAAATGAATAAATAAGTTATGAACTAATCTAAATACTCTTATATAAGTCATAGATATTCTCAATTTCAGAAGTATTCTCATTAATTGCCTTGGATATGAAAGTTAGGGTTTCAGGTTCAGGTTCTGGATCTGCATCAAGGTCAAAATTAGAAGTATCACCCTTGGCATAATACATTTCAGAATTATAACGATCCATCTTATGCCTTATTGCAACTTTGCTAAGGAATTTGAGATGTTGTAAAGTTGGATTTTGACTACCATAAACTCTAGAAGCATGTTTATCTCCGATTTTTCTTAATCTTTTGGCTGTAATATCATATAGTTTTAAAAATTTACTAAATACTCCTATACTGCATTTTCTATTAATACTATAGACAGAATTGCGTAACTTTTCAGTTGTTATTGCATCTTAGATCCAGGTAAGCAATTCTTTTGTATGTTCTGGATTCTTTTTCATGAATAGAAATTGCTGAGGTTCGGGATTATTTTTTGCTTCTTCTTTATTTTTAATATATCCGATACAATACCAAGAATAACCAAGCTTGTATCATTCAGAAGAATTCGATTCACTGGGTTTATAATGGATAATACAAAGAGTGGCAACTTCAGCGAGTCTCATACTCAACATTATAATTACATCTGCAAGACTTGCATAGTAGGGATTTTAGTAGTATTAATATTTTGAATTCTTCTAAGTCCTTCCTCTAAGAAAAAGCGTTTGGAAGTTTTAGATGGATTGGGTAATCACTGTTCAAGTTGCCTTTTTTGAATTTCGTTAGAAGCTCGAGTAACTTCTGGTAATTTGGCATATATATAAATTTGCTCAGAACCAACTTCAGCTTCTGCTAACTCTCTACAAAATTGTGAAACATGAGAACTGGCTGCCACAATTGCTTTATCTGTATTATTTTTTGGCACAGCTAAGTCTAAAGCATGTAACCAAATATCCCATACATCTTTAGTTTTTGCACAATATTGAGCTCTTTTCTTAATAGTAAGCCTTTTCTTTTTGTTGTTTGAAACCAGAGCTCCTATTTGATTTTCTTTGAATAAGCGCTGACAGAGAGCCTCTTTCACATCTTTATGAGCCTTCCAATCTGGTAGCATAGTACTAATCTCATCGGCATGAGCACATAATTGAAGTGGGTTTGATTCGGCCGATAGGTTATATTTATTGAGAACCTGATCCAAAATGAAGGTAAAGCTATTAGTTTTGGGTTTTCTAGTTTTTCAGACAGTTGCCATGATAGATATGTAAATAATCTATATTGATAAGTAGAATGTGATTATACATTAACCTACTTATTTTTTTTAATTCAAAATTAATTACACTTTTTCCTCCTATACCCAGAAAAAAAAGGTTATATATATCTATAGAGTAAGTAGAATATCGATTTAAAATTTACTAACATATAGAATATAATGAAAAAAAATTATAACTTTGAGTTGTGGCTACTTAGACTATATAATATATCAGTTTATTATTATGTTTTATTTTTTATAATGCTTGGAATAGATTCTGATATTTTTCTATACTTATGAACAATTTTTTGTAAATATCAGGTCTATTTTTTATTATATCAATCGGTGGTATCATAGCTGGATGGAACAAAGCATTCATGAATCTAATTTGCTCAGGATAATAATAATCCATAATATCTGATAATTGTAGAAATTCTGCTAAATCTTTTACATATCTAAAACTATTGCGCATTAGTTTGTGGAATGTTGGTCCATTATAATGGATCTCTTTCTTGGTTAATAAGTTGACTACTTTTTGAGGTGTTTCCATTTTAAGTGTAATGTATAGTGTCAATATATATTCGATTATATTATTACAAAATAATTTGAAAAAGTTTAAATTGATTTTATATTAAATATATTCACATAAAAAGTGAAACAGACTTTATACATTATATATAAATCACTTTGAATAGAGTATCCAATCAGTCAATACATTAAAGAAGATGATTCGGAGTGTTCAACATATCAATATGTTAAAAGTAATAGTCTGGGGCATTCAACCTGCCCATATGTTAAAAGAGATAGTTCAATATGTAGCAAAGGTTGTTGGTGGGACATAGGGTGTTCATTGTACTGGAAATTATATAATACAAATATAGCAAAATTTCCTTGTGGGATCTGTAGAAAACTAACAATTTCTGGGACAGGGTATTGTCCTAAGCATGCAAAAAGGGTTTATTTTCGAAATTGGTATGAAAAACAATAGGCACAGAGAATAGAAGCTGATGCATAATTATACTCACTTTTGCCAAAGATAGGCACTATATAACTATAAATATCAATTTTAAGCATTACAAAAATAGTCTATGTAATGGATTTTTTTACAAGTATCAATTTTAAGTATCACAAAAACCCCCTTTGTAAAATATGTCACAGACTATTACTAAATAGATATATACATTAACAATATCAAATAAGTCCTGAGTATTCTGTGAGATAGAATTGGGAGGAGTTTCTATTTCATCAGGTGAGAGTTTACTATACCAATATCACCATTCTTCTCCATTATCCCAATCCTTACCCGTCTGGTATGGTGGCAACTCGGGTGTATATGCATAAGCATATATACTATCAAATGCTCCAACTAGATAATAATATATATGCTTATTATTTGTACCTTTGAGCTTCAAACCATAAGTTGTATAAAGTGCTGAATTTAATAAACCAAGTTTTGCTCTAAGAGTTTTTAATCTAGATTTTTTGGCACATCGGAATGCATCTGTATTATCAAAAACCCAAGCCATTTTAGGAACTAATTCTTAGAGATATTTTATAGATTTAGGTGATTCTAACCATGTTTTAACAATATCAGTTTTATATTTATTTTTATCATCGATATCTTTAATAAGTATACAAATTTTTAATAATTCAAGACAAATTCGATGTTTTTTAGCTTTAGTAACAGTTGCGAGCCTATTATTTCTATAATCTTTATGGATAATTGCCTCAACTGCTGTCTCATTATTAGTGCCTGCATCTCATAATTTCTGAAGAGCTTTAAACCAGCGCATATGATTATAATTTCCAAACTCTGAGATAAATTCTTCAGTCAAAGACTTAGGTGCTATATTATAGTAATTTACAATATAGTGCTGGTCTAATGCTTGCATTTCTTCTAAAGTTTTCTTTGGTTTATTTTCTAGATGCTCAGCTATTTTACGATTAATAATATTTGCATTTGCAAGGTCTGAAATTTCCTCTGCTTTAATAACTGAAGAATATTCCTTTACAGTTTTAGTTAATAATATAGTATTATCTTCAGGTTTGGGAGTTAGTTCTATTACTAAAACTATCATACCTGCCTTTTAGAGAAAATCAACCATTCTCTAACTAAATAGACATTGAAAGTGGAATTTTTCCAACATATATGCCACTCATAATCAGATAGTTGGAACATCTTTATTTCAAATAATAGTATCTATATTTGGAAATATTTCTCTATTCTAAAGCTCTTAGAGAAGACATCTGCGTTTTGCTTCTGTTAACCATTAAAACAACCCTTCTTCTGTAGTTGGAACTTTAGATGCCCTTTGTTGAATATAACATATATAATCTTTAATGCATTACATGTGGAATAATATTTGATTTGTCCTAGCATTTGTTTTTATATAACTACTAAGGATACAGAATGCTCGCTCAAACTTAGGATTGATGCAAGAAACCCTTATCTTTAATGTACTGGTATATGCAATGAGATCAATATTTTTCCATGCATTATCTACATCTCTAAAATCTTGAGTTTTCTTTATTGGGTCTAACTTATCATGATACTCTTTTATATGCAATTCTGGGAAATCAGCTCTAAGAGCCCGAACAATACCCTGAATATTTCTCCTCTCATGACAAATAAGAGATGCATTTTTTCGCTTCTCAAAAGGTAATGATATTATTTGCTTGGCCTATTCCCAGAGTTCTATTAATACAGTTTCTTTATCAGAAGCTAGACAGAATGTTTTACCTTTTTGGAGCTAGTATGTGTTGTGGATAACTGAATATTTTTTATTTGGTCAAAGTCCTTTAATCCATTCAATATTAAGGTCAGTGAGATCATTATTTAGTACAATAACTCTTTCTGCCTGAGTAATTAATTCTGAGAAATTGGCAAGAGATATAGACAAACCACTTAAACAAG